GCCGTCAACCTGCTTAGCCGGACGTATCTATCATATGAATGGAAGTGTGATGCATGTTGAACGCATTATACTACGTTCTTTTCAGTTCCACTGCCAACGCAAAGTTGCGATCCATCGCTTGAACGACTCCTCAATTTGTCAGCAACCGAACAAGTGGACAGGGAAAGGCCCATTCTTGACCATTGGCTATTCATTCGTCTGCAAATCTCGGTCTTGCATCCACCTTTGCCGTGCCCGTCTCAGTGTTAATCCTCCTACCCTCTGCAATTCAGACAATCATGCGTCTACACTTTTCTACTGGAAGCTCATCTTTGCAACGTGGCTAGAGTTTGCGCTTATCATTCTACGGAGGGACATAACTGCGTTTGACCAACGACGAATTAGATCAAGACGTTAACATCGCGAGGTGTTGGCTGTTAGATGTACCCGGATGCTGGGCCGAACGAGCGTGGTAATTGATACGTTTTTCTTACGTTAGCAGGAAGAACGATCGAAATTGGTTTATCGCTTCACTTGGTCCGGGTGTCGAGGTACCTTTCGTCCGGTGATTTCTTTGTCATCGTTGACACGAAAGCTGTGTCTCCTGCCTTCCGGTGGTACTATCACGACTTTTCGGCTGAATTATAATGCAGTGTCAAAACAGAGTTCAGACACTCCAAAGCTCATCACTGATTGGTTTCGATCCTTCACTGAAGAAGGAAGTTTTTACCATAGTTGTGCTCTGCCCGCTCAAATGGATGAGCATCCTACTAAGTATCAGCATACCGAACTTCTTCCATTCTCACTTGGTGTTAGTTTCTAGCTGGCTTGAGATTTTGAGATCTATGCCGCTCTTCATGATTCAGACATACCCCAGCATACCGTCTGCTTCTGCGAACCTGCTCATAATCGCCCGCTTGTGTCTGGTTTGTCGACGCATCCGACTCCCGATATACGCGGCACGGGTTGCTGAGCGAGCATGACGCCGTCATCTTTGGATTGCTGGGCTTTGTCGGGCTCAGTTGAAGACGTGACACGTGTTCCATGCGGCACACATGCTTCATTTAGGGTTATCGGTGTACCCAGGCGTTCTTACGTGTAGCCGCTTACTAATACAGCGGCTTGAACCGATCCAATTCTTCTCTGGTGAATCCTTCATGCCAGATGTGCTTGACATAAAACTACCATTGTGCAGATCCTGGGTCGCCGCATGCACGTACGGTGCCCAGTCGACACTATTGCCGTTGCCGGCAACACACTTTTACCAAACAATGTGTACGAAATACCCGTCTGACGCCGCATGCTCTCAAATGTCGTTATTTTACCTTCCGAGCTGACTTAGCATCAAAGGTCGCCGGATAGGTAGCAGTTGCTCCCAATATCGCTGTCATCTAGCATCTTGTTTGTGGGCAATATTATGGCTAATCGTTCAACAAAGAAGCCTACACCGATGAAGGGAAAATGGTATCGTCTCAACAGTCATAAATGCTCGACGACGTACATAAGTGTGATTAGCAGGATTCCTTCCAGCAACGCTCGCGTGATTACGCATCTCCTATACAATGATTTCCTCATACGTGAAATTTTGTGGCAGGATCGTTCATCCTTTCTTCTAGGAGCATTAGCAGTAGGACGTCAATCGTAATGTATATATGTGGGCACGCCTTCAAGTGCTCTATACTACCAAGAGTTCGTTGTGCATGTCGCTGCTGTAGCAGCCGTTATCTGCTCCACTGCATCGTCCGGTTGATGTGGCTGCATATCGGCACCAACCTCGTTAAGGGGGGCTTGCACGTTGATAATTGGGATAAGCGTGTGCTTTCCCCCCACAGCCGCATCCAGCAATTTGCATGCCAGCATTGCCAGCACCGCCTTGACGCGATCGGCCAAGACTTGCATCGTGCTGGCCGATCATGAGCGGTCTCCAGAACGTTTTGCGAGTGACTTGGCAAGGATGCGATTGATTAAGTTCGTCTAGATCCGGCATTTAATACGGAGACGATAAGGCGTTTCCGATTGCGCTGCGAAATCGGGAGTGATTGGAATACACGTGTTGACTACAATAAAGCAGTGGCTTGCAAATGAAAACGAAGCTGCTATGGCGGCGTCGCCTATCGTAGCTGTAATAGTCCTCTCACTGTAGTGCTACGCGTGCTAGCGTTGCACTGAGCATAGAACAAGTCCCAGATAGTTCAGCGCACTGTTCGTTGGGGATCCCGCGTTTGGATTGAGAAGGATGTCTCTCTCATTTACTCACTCATTATACTTTCTTGTCAATCGATTAACCCTTATAGGTCGCGTACGTTCGCATCCGGGGCTGACATAGTGTGGATCATGCAAAGAGATTCGACCTAACGCCAACGCATACTGTACCAAATCAACACATGCGAATGCATATTACATCAAATTAAAAACGACTATTGATCGTGCTCATCTCTTTTAACATGACGATGGGCCTGATTAAACGATATGCTATGCAAAATGCCTGTGTCGATAGTAATTTGGGCTGCGGTTGTCTATCCTGGCCATTGGTCCATGTCGATTTCGTATGCTCACACACTTACTGATGCTGCGAACACACAGCTGCACTGAATATACGTCATATCTACAAGATGGTCTTAACGATCGTCACGACTCTACAACCCGTTGCCTGCCCAGTATAACTCACGCCATAAGTATAGACTGCTTCGAGTGGTCGCCACCTGATCTAGTACATGTTTGCTCGCACAGCTTAGTGGCCATGGATACGCAAACGGTGTTGGTCTTCTACACGCGGCTTGATTAGGAGGCAAGAGTGCACGACAGAGTAACATTGACGAGTCTGACAGAAGCATAAGCTATAAAGTGAGTGCATCTTGCCACGCACGTAGACACTCGGAGGTGTTACTGCTGTAGACGCATTGTAAGCTCACCATTCGGATGACAAATGAGTGAGCTATGCTGCACACGACTTCACAAACTTAATTTTTGACTCCACCTGTAACGACATCACACGTGACCCCCGGCATCCGGGAGAGATTGTGTCTATTAGTCACACTACATCGCATCTTTTTCCACCCGGCGATCGTGCACTTGCACATACACGCAAACTGCCATCGTCTTTATCGCAACTTCACGACGAGTAATCTCAGCCTTGAGACACACCTCTGTTGGAGTAATCTGCTGAGACTTCACGAGCTCCTTCTGAAATGCCGTGGGCTTGTACTTGTGTGCGTGACCACTGGCAGACCGACAAAGGAGTCGTCGTTGTCCGTCGGCTTACCTTAGTACATAACGTGCGTTGTGTTGGCCCCTTCGCATTTCGCGGCGCATACCATACAAATAGCGAGAGGGAGCGAGAACGCATCGTACTGTCGCTCATCTACTCGAGTTCCATCACGGACTCGCTAGCGACGGCATGGGGTACCAGAAGCGCGGTCGCACGAGATCCCACGAGCTGAACACGGTGACGGTTGCGTTTGTTGCTTTGTCGTGTGTTGACCTGTTGATACTGATCTTGTTGTTCAATGCAAATTGGGAAATGATAAGGGCGTAGGGCACTCTTGACACGAAAGCAGCCGACCGATCATATCATTGAAGTACTTGATCGAAGTTGTCGAAGGAAGCGCTTCAACAAGTTCCACACAATGTGTCAGATTTGAGGTGACTAATCTCGAGAACCGACTCCGCTTCCGTGTCACCGTTCAGATTCAAGACATTCAAAATAGATTGACAACAGCGACGGCTATCAAGTTGTTTGATTTCTTCGACGCATGAATGCTTTTTCTCGGCTGCTGACACGTATCCTTTCCAGTCCAAGGTAGGAGAAAGCTAGTGCGAGACGTTGTTGCCGATGGAGAAGAGAGTAGATCTTTATTCAATTGCCATGACCCCATGGAAATCCAGCTCAGGCTCGTCGTCCCTTGCACACGTGACACCCAATTTGTCGACCGTCCTGCTTCCGCCCTTGCAGAAGCCGTAAGGCGTTCGGGATCCGGCTTCGGTATAGCACCACGCTACGACCGGTCGTGCGTGCGGCCGCACACGGCGCATTTGGGTACCTAGCAAAACCTCACCACAGCTTGCGGCGAATTCGCGCCCCAGTCACACGATATGGCGGTCGTAACTACACACGTGCCAGGACACGCTTTTCCAGCTACACTACGTCAGCCCGTGTCGATACCGTCAGTGTCGGCAGTGACGAACTCGTTGGGCGACGGCAAGTGATGCCGCCTGAGAACAATAAAAAGAGTGCACGTATGCTGTAAAACGTGGAGGCCACGACGCTCATCGGAACGTCGCCCCTTCCGCTTGACTGCTCGGCCTGTTGCTGCAGTACTTGTCGGATATCAGACCCCAACACCGCATGACTCGCGCCGCGTCGGTCGGTTTCGTATGCTCCACGAGCGCAATAGAGCGTGCGGCGTCGTGGTCGCCTGTATCGCTTGTTCAGCGCGCAAAGCCGGGGCTGTCTTCGTCGTGGCGGAACATTTCTGGCCTTTCAGCAAAGCTTCAAGCCCCCCATCGCAGACGAGCCGCCTTGGACAATGTATCGAGGCAGACGGGGCGTCGCGTCTCTGTCCGCAAGTCGCTCGCTCGCTCGCTTGCGCGTCTGCCGCACGCCATTCTATGTGTGTCGAGTCGCCGCAACCCACGTGATTTGGTTTCAGTCGCCGTGGCGTTACTTCAGGAACGACCGGCCCGTTTCTGCCCGCTGTCACTTCACCAACCGCTGCCCCTGGCGCACGCGCTCGCTGCCTCATTCTCTCTCTTTCTCGAGACAGTGCACACGGCGCACGCGTTTCCTCGTACTTTGCGTGTGCAGTCGCTCTCGACAGTACAGTGTCTCGTTCCCCTCCCCCGGGCACATCGTCGAGTGGGGTTTCCAGTCACGTGTACAGACAGAGCACTCGACACGTCGTGTTCCCAACAACAACAACAACAACAACAACAACTGCAACAACAGTCGCAACAACAACAGCAGCAGCAGCAGCACATACACTGACAGATCGACCGACAACAAGGCAGACAGATTGACAATTATGCACGTGCGACTTGTAGCGCTGCTGGCGGCCGCCGCTCTTAGCTCCACGACAGACGCTGTCAAGACGTGTCCCGTGTCTGTCCAGTCGCGAACGACGTCGACGCTGGCGGACCCCATCACGGAAGTTGTCGTCTCGATCGCCAGTGGGAGCGGGAGCAGTAGCGCCGAAGGTTCGTCTTCCTCGCCCGGCTCGGGCTCGGGCGTCGAGGACGCAGACGGCAGTCGAGGCGACCAGACGGTCGAAGTCGGGAGTGGTTCAGGTTCCTTTGCAGCGACGCCGACGAATGGCTCGAGCACTGGAGACCACGAGGGCTCCAACACGACGACGCCGTCGACACCGTCGACGCCGACACCAACGGACAATAGCAGCGGCAATGACACGAACAACAGTAACGTCGATAGTACGACTGGTACTCCCGCTCCAGACAGTGCTGGGCCTACGTCGCCCTCGACCACAACGAGTCCAACAACGGCTGAACCGTCGACGCCGTCGGCCGAGACGCCACCGTCGACAACGACTACACCCGTCAACAACGACTGACACGCCGTCGACGACTGTTGCCGATACAGGTCGCGTCTGTCCCGACCGCGGGAAGTGTGTCGTCCGTTGCAACGAGTGCGACGACTGCGCCGACTCCTGCGGTACCGGACGCTGTGAGCGCGACGACAGACACGGCGACGACAACACCTGTAGTACCGTCGGCGGGCGTCGGGACGTCGCTATCGCTCGGCACACGAAAGTTGCAGACGACGACGCTACCGACGACGCCACCAACACCACCAACACCACCAACACCACCGACGCCACCGACGACAATTGATCCGACTTTAGAGACGAATGGGCTGGCGGGATCACTGCCCAGTGGCACAAGTACGACGGACGGAACGAACACGACGGCGGTCCCGAGTGCACCGACAAATGGGTCGCCTTCGACTGCTGGAACGACACCGACGCCAGGGTCGAACTCGACGAATACTTCTGTGGACTCCAACGTAACCTCAGGATCCGACGTGCTGTCGTGTGACAGCGCATTTTACGCCAAGTGGGACGCACTGGGGCTGAAGTGTGGTGGCGCGGGCATCGATGTCGCGTCGGCCGTCGCAGCGTCCAGCTGCGTGATTTACAGTGGCCGAGCAGGCGGCACCTCGGGCTCCTCGTGCGTTTCGATTTGCTCGTTCCCGGCGTGCACGAACAATGCGTGGGTGTACGGTGCGAACAACGGCATCTCGTCGTCGGTCTATGATGGTTTGAGTGTCGAGGCGTTTCTACCGGGTGGTGTGGTGACGGCGCTGGAGGAGCGCTCGTCGACCGTGTCGACGTTCCTGTCGAATTCGACGTTATCCGACTCGGAGCAGTGCACGTACTCGTCGGAGGATTCGTTCTCGTCGTGCTCATGCTCAGCTATGTTGGTGGATTTGTCGAGCTCAGGAAGCGTGGCTGAAGGTGCGAGGAAGGAGCTGCGTCAGCAAAATGAGGTGAATGGTGTTATTACGACGGATATGACTAGTACTACCGGCACAGTCGTGGCGGCTACGTCAAAAAGTGTTGCTGGCGTGACAGTTGCGGTCACGGGCATTGCTGCTATCGCTAGTGCAGCTGTAGGAGGTGTCAGCTCTGCCAGTGCTTCGTTCGCGGCTGCCGGCTCGACAATGGCTATTACGACAGTCGAGATCTGCCAGTTCGGCGTGCTCGTGAATCAGCTCCAGCTCGATGGCAAGTCGGCGGCTTTGACGAAGTTTGGCAAGGCAATGGCCCCCGCTGCGTTCATGTTCTTGCCGTTTGGGACTTTGGACGAACCAAACTCGGACAGCAGCAAGTCGGACAGCGGCAGCTCGTCTGGCACTATTGCCAGCCGTCGGTTGTCTACTTCTGGCACAAGCGGGAGCGACAGCTCGGAAGTCGCGAGTCAGCTCACTGGTATTGAAAAATACTCCCGTCAGCTAGACATCAACGAAGATATGCTTTTCGTTGTGACGCTAGCTGGTGTCTTCTGCGTGATGGCCAGCATTGTGGGTTTGTTCGGTATCGGCTACCTGCTTGCTGGTTTTGTCATGTCCCGTGAAGACTACTTGACGGCATTCTTCGACAAGATGATTGGCTTCGAGGTGCTCGTGGCCATCTTGGCGCAGTACACTATTGGTGTGACGGCCACCTTTCAGATCTACTACTCGACGAAGCACGAGAGTATAACGGACCCAAAATGCCTGCTGGCGATTGCTGCAATCATTTTCCTGGCTGCTGGTATTCTCGTGTACGGCTACATCGTCATCAAGAAACACGAGGCCGAGATCGTGGATGTCGGCACGGTACAGCACTTGAAGAAGACTGTCAACATGCGCTACGGTCCTCTGTACGAAGAGTACAAGTTTAAGAATCGCTACTTCTTCGCCGCGAAGATGATGCTTGCGCTGACGACGGGCGTGATCACCGGCTGCGCGAGCATGTCGGGCAAGATACAGGTGGCACTCATTCTCGCGTTGAACGTGGCGTTCTTTTTCTACTTGGAGATTCAGTCACCGCACCACTCGAAGTTTGTTCAGACCACCACGAGTTTCGTGTCCATCATGAAAATTGCCGTGCTGGTGCTGACGTTTTTCCTCGTGACCGCGGCAACTGGTGACGGCTTCCCGACCAGTCTGCAGAACGGCATTTCAGTGGCCATTGTGGGTCTCAACCTCTTTGTGCTGGCCCTGCTTATGATCCGGTCGCTGTACGTATTCTGGCAGAAGCTCAAGCTGCAACGCGACGCCGCTTACGACCAAGAAGAGCAGACTGCGCAGGACTACTTCAAGGACGAGACACCCGTTCGAACGAAGGACCATGCTCCCGGCAACGCCCAGGTCCCCGCTGGCCAGCTGGGTCCCCAGTCCCAGTTCTCGAACTTGAACAACAACGGCAGCAGCAGTCCATACGTCCAGGGTCATGCCACGGCAGACCACACGGGCGCGGACGAGATCCGTCTCCGCTCGGCTACGCACGAGAATGACGACAGGCACCAGACATACGACGCAGGTCGACGCTCGGCTGCCAAGCACTACATCAAGGAAGACCAGAAGCCTGACAGTCAGCCGCGTAACGACGTGGTAGAGCTGTAGGCGTCTGTCTTTTGGCCCGTGCTGCATGGAAACCTCCTTGAAGCCATCGATACGAAGAAGGAGCTGCGTGCGTACCAGGAAGGAAGGAGCGCAACGATGATGCGGTCCGGCCGCGCCGAGCTTGTAATTAAGACTGTGAAGCTAGCAAATGTGATTTGTGTTCATGCCCGTTTGCTCCTTACGGTTTAAATCGCCTTGCAAACAATCCGTTTGCCTCGTTCACCTGTCGATCCCATAGTTGTCTGTCTGTCTGTCTGTCTGTAGCCTGTCGAGTGAGAGAGAGAACACAACGGCCCAACGCCATGGCAGGAGGGTCTCTTCTGACACAAGGCCTCGAGCCACTCCTGCGACGCAAGTCCCCGGCCATCCACGAGAGGCTTAGCGAGTTGTACGAGCTCGACGACGCACTCCAGGCGGCGCATGTTCAAGCCATCCGCGACAGTGACCTCGGCGAGGAAGTCGTGACCAAGTACAAAGCCTTTCTGACTTGTCGCGAGCAACTGGTCGCTGAGTTGGAGAAGCAAAAGATTCCAGTGCCGTGGCAGCTGCGCACGACCATTGACGATCTCGAGCTGACGGTGCGCACGACAGAGACATGCGACTTGTTGCCGCCGCGGCAGTGATGGAGGGAGTGCTGACCACGCGTCTGTTTGTTTCTGCTCTGTGCGGTGGTTCATGCGTTACAGTTGAAGCAGCGAAACGCGTCGCGTTCGAACGAGACTCAAGACCCCACTCAGTCTCCCCCATCTATGCAAGTGGCAGTGGCATTTATTGGACCGACGCTCGTTGCACTAGCAATTGCCACGCTGTGGTACCATTTCAACACCTGAACAGTGTCGCATAGGGACACAAGCAACAGCAGCAGCAGCAGCCGCCGCCGCCGCAATCGTTTGGCTGCAACCCGCTTGCGATTTCGTGACTTAGCGATCGATAGCATCAGTTTGCAATTGTATCCACTCGATGCGACAACGGCTGTCCTCCAGTTATCGCTACCTCCGTTTCGTGTCTCCACCGACTTACAGCCTGGCAATGGTAGCGACAGCGTCGTCGGCTCATCTCGCTCACGATCGTCGCGCAGGTATCGGCGATTTGACCTCATTGGGGCCGCTACGACGAGGGGCTCACGTGCTCGTGGTGGGAGACGGCAACTTCTCCTACGCCCAAGCATTCCTGCGCGCCCAGAGCATTCGCATCAGAGCTGCTGAGATTACGCTGACGGCCACATCGCTGGACACTGAGCCTGAGTTGCTCGAGATGTATCCCAAATCCCGCAGCATTCTAGAAAACTTGCGGCACGGTAATGTCCACGTTCGACACGGCGTGGACGCTACAAAGCTGTCGAGCTATTTCAGCCAGAACCGTGCGGACTCGGTCAAGTTTGACCGGATCGTGTTCAACTTTCCCCATTACGCGGGACACGAACGCGGGGGCGACAAGACCGTACACAACAAGATCCATCGCCATCGACAACTCTTGCGCGACTTCTTCGCTAGCGCAAGTCAAGTGCTGACGCGTGAGGGACAAGTCTGGGTCACGCTCTGTGCTGGACAAGGAGGGACGAAGCTAGAGCGGAGACCTCGAGCACAAGGGGATACGTGGCACATTGTTCACTGCGCTGCAGCGGCAAAGTTCGTGCTGCACGACGCGCATTTCTGTCCCGTACGCGCGTTGGCAGCATTCGGGTACTACAGCGTCGGGTATCAAGCTCGAGAAAAGGCGTTTTGGACGCACGACAGCATCACACACGTGTTCGTCCACGAAGGCCGTGGTCGCCAGTCGTGTTTTCCAATTGAGTGGAACCGCGACGTCAGCTTCTGGATCACGGATGAGCACAGCTTCTCCGAAGACCTGTTGCATGGCATTGTGCAGGAACACTTTTCTCCAGAGACAATGAGCGTCGCCATCTCGCTGCACGACGAGTACCGCTGCAAACAAAGTGCCCGGAAGGCCGTCACGTATCGCCTCGCCATTTCGTCGTTCGCGCTCGCACTCACTCGAGATCGCGTCAATGTGTTGACTGAGAAAGCGCTTACGGCCATCGAGAGCTCGTGCTTCGGCGCTTCTCGCCGCACAACCGCTTTCTGACTGCACAGCAAGAAAACCCTTCTGGACCACTCATTTTACCGTCTTATATAGAAATTGCTTTGTCCCTATCTCGTCCACGTCTCGACTGCTACATGGAAACGCCAAGATAGAGCAGCACGTTCGCCACGTTGCTCAACAAGTGCAGCCCGCAGTGCCACGCTGACGACACGTTCTGATTTGGTGCCTTGCGAGCGCGCAGGTAACAGTAGCCCGAGTTGGCCACCACAAGCACATACAGGAGCTGCACGAGTGACTCTTGACACACTGCGACGCAGAAGTAGGCGTGGTAGACGGCAGCCCCAACGACCGCTGTCATGTCAGCCGAACGGCGCCACCCTGTGACAGGATGGCGCCAGTAGTTGAGCGACGTCAGTAGCACTACGAACGCAGCAAAGGCGCAGCCCCAGAGTCCACAGCGTACCGCTCCACCTACTGAGAAGCACGTGACGAACGACGACCGAAACAGGCGCGTCGAGTAGCGCGGCAGTAAAACGGGATCCGGCGACGACGTCCACTTGTTCGTGTGATTGAGCCCCATGTCCCAATGGTTTGGCGGAAGGAGTTAGTCGCGTAGAGGGCAAATTTACAACTGATAATGTACGGCTCGTGTCGAAGAGGAGGAGGGAATCGTCCAAGAGCGCATTTCTTGTTGATGAGCAAAACGTTATTTTTTTATGCGGGCGCTTTTTAAATCAGGCGTGTGACGGTAATCTGGATGTGCAGAGAGAGAGAGAGAGAGAGCGAGAGAGAGAGAGAGAGAGAGAGGACATGGGCAGGTGAAGTGAGGACATGACTGATCGAGAGAACATTCGAGCTACCGCTTCGGTGGGATCAGTTTTTGGAGGTGCTACGAGGACGTAGACAATGCGTAAGAACCGTGCTAGGATTCAACAATCCAGAACAGTGACATAGTGCGAGACGAGAATATTCGCTGATGACTTGACAGAACCGCATAAGTGACAGTGAAGTAAAAGACCGATTCGATCGCACGATGTCCGTGAGACGTCTTGTTTGATTAACCAATCGTGGTTAAACCACTTCTTGTGGCGGCCATACTGTACTAATCAAAGACGATCAGTCGGGCTTTATGTTCATGCTACCTCAGTGGACATTCATTTGCACAAGAATAGTTTTACAACGACAATCAGGGTACAAAGCGCGTCGCTGTGGTCTTCTCAGTCGCACGAGTCCCTATAAGGTACCTATACCGCATTATTTTTCGGTGACGCGCAAGCTCTTTTAGTTCGTCATCTACTTTCGCTTCGTTGTCGCGTTTTTTATGTTAAATTTCGGATATCGTCTAAACAATGCAGCGATTTATAACCGCCTGATGTTAAGAATGATAATCTGAATAGTCTCGAATGCGTTTGTTTGTTACGCAAATAGCCATTATGGCACAACGCTTGATATTAGATCGCACCGTGCAAGGCTCCCAAGAAGTAGACACTAGCCGTTTAGCAGTTGTTGTTGTATAAAATACATGGGAAGGCCCCCTCGACACCATTCGATCGGGCACGTCAACGCCATGATCAGTGGACTGCTTTCGCCCTTTTTTGGGAGGGCCATGATGAGAGAATATTTAAAGAGGACGATCAACTTGTTGATCTGGAAGATAAACCTCGACCTCCTCCTGAGGTCCCTTCGGGGACCACCGCGGATCATGCTACAAAGTATGATCCGCCGGGTGCTAACCCTTCAGCAAAAACTGAACGAAAACTACACAAGCCCTCCCAAGCAACGTCGAGGACAAAGACTGTGAAGACAGAACAAATGAAAAAAGAATAAATTAGACCGGATCCCCGCGATCACGCTCTAACGACACTCGATCGACAGATCTACCCGATCAACCTGGTGGACGACGAAGACAAAATGGAAAGGTGGCTGGAAGACTCGCAAGTGGAGCGGCTAGAAGAAAAATATCATTGGAATGAGTTTAAGTAGCTGCTGTCCAGCGATTTAATTCTAAAGATCATAAAGGCACAGCTGATCGGCTTGTTGCGAGCACCGAGATCCACTCATGTCTCACATACGAACACGCTGGACGCGATCCGCGGGCCGATGCGGTTGCTACAAGACGCGGGATTTGCGGCTGAATTATTTGACGCAAACGCTATACTGGAGAGAGATCTCGACGACTTGATTACTGCGGATAGATCCCTACGCGCAATGCTGTCTCAGTTGGCTGGAAACTATGATCCAGCGACTAGGGTGGTCAAGTCTCTCGATAAGGATCCGATCGAATAC